CTCTCCTCTCGAGTCCTCCGTGGCCACGCCACTGACTCTGGGCCCAAGAGTCCCCAGGTTTCCTCACACTGCTTGCCAACCAGGTCCCCAACTGGGTCCACAGAAGTCCACTGAACATTGTAGGGCTTAGCTTGCCGTCATTCTTTTTAAAATAGGAAAAGTCAGTCAAATTTAGGTACAAAGGGCCTATCTTTTTAGTACAAAAGAAAGAAAATTCATTGCAACTCATCATGTTTACAGTTAATAAATTTTGAAAAAAATGTACAAAGACATGTACTCAATTTTAGGGATAGTCTTAGGTTTTTACTAGTTACAGCATACAAATGCTAGTCATTTAGGGAAAAATAATAGTTCACCCAGAGTGTGAAGTTCTATATGTTACTTATTAGAGAAAATAAAGCACTTGAAAGACTTTTATAAATTATATAAAAACAATTACAACCTTGTTATCAAAGCCCAAAGATATTTTTTTAAGTGTTAATAAAGAAATATACTAGCATGTAATTTTTCTTCCCTTTGAATTTATATTAGTATTCTGAGCTTACATTTAGTAGCTAACTGGCCAATTTTTAAAGCCTTATCATGTCCTATGTATAAATAAACTTTGCCTGTCAACATACTGTACACTTTTGCCTAGATCCAACCTTGATATTTTGCCATTTGCAAATGTTTATGCTTTAAGGGAACTGAGATGTTAAGAACACAGCAAAGTTGATATGGATATGAATTAAAAAATACTTACTTTTTTTTTTAAGTACTAATTTATGTTACTTATTTTCATGTTATTGAAATATTAACTTTATGGCAATTATTTATATCCAAATATTACATCTTAATGTGAGGAAAAATCAATAGTAGTTGCAGTAATAGTTATATGATTATAATACTCATTTTAATAGTGGTAGCAATGAAACTAAGAGTGATAGATAATTGATTCTAACTCACTCTCTACATCGAGAAAGCTTAATTTGGTCTAGTACAATGATTACTCCATTCTGCAATGTCAAAAAGGAAATTTAAATGTTTTTTAACTACAAAGTTTGAAGTTAGCCACTTGAACTATGTTAAAAACACAAGGTACAGTTGGAGGTAAGCCTTACACTAACGAGATGAACAGTTGCAACAACAAGAATTGTAGGATCATTTTTAAAAACTGACTTTCAACTGTGACAGGATAAAATTACATACAAGTAATTGCTGTTGCTGCTGTTAAGTGTCCTCGAGTTGTTCCAGCTCACAGTGACCCTCTGTGGGGTCTCTGAGGCTTTAAATTTCTGTGGCAGCAGGAAGCCTCATCTTTTTACATACATGGAATAAATCCCATAAAATTAAAAAGTGGGTATGAAAGTGATTATGGAAGAATATTGTGACCTAAACTCAGTCTACATAAAGAACTGTTACTAAGTGCCATCAAGTCAGTTACAACTCACAGCAATCATGTATAGAATAGGGTCACTATTAAACAAAAACATTTGATGGCCCCCAATAGCAAGAGCATATTGATAAACCAGCAATAGCAGCTAGTTAGCACTGGACTGCTAACTACAAGTTTAGTAGTTCAAACCACCTGCTGCTCCTTGGAGACCCTACATAGGATTTCTATGAGTGGGAACCACCTCTACAACACTTAACAACAACAACATAGGGGTTCCGTGGCTTTTTAAAATCTGCACAGGAGCAGCAAAAAGCCTCATCTTTCCCCCGCAGAACGGCTGGCGGGTTCTAACCGTGGATCTTGTATTTCAGAGTCCAGTGCTTATCATACTCCTAACACAGTCTATTTGAGATTATTTTAAAATAAAGCAGCGATACGCAATATATTTTGGAGTCATATGTGCTATTGTTAAGTGTCATTGAGTCTTTTTGTCTCACAGCAACCTGGTATTAGGTTTTCGAGGAGCAGCAGGTAGGTTTGAACCATCAACTTTATGGTTAGTAGGCCAGTGCTTAGCCTACACCACACCAGAACTCTAAAGTTATATATAGGTCTCGCAAATATTAGAAAATGAATACAGATGTTCACCTGTATAAACCACTTGAACATACAGTTTGATTAAAATAATGACACCATATTTGTAAAATCAAATATATTTAATTTTAGCATAATATTGATTTATAATGCTTTTTTTTCAAAAACATCTTTGTGTGTTTAATAAATCATTGAAAAATTCAAAATAATGTTTTATAAGCATGCTTTTGCTCCATACACCAGGCTGTTATTGCATTGAAGACAGTGAATTCCATCACGAGGGTTATAAGATCCAGGACTGCAGATAACTGTGAACAAAGAACAGGCTAATAAGTATAGTTGTTCTTAAAATGCCCCGTAAGCTAACTTTACAAGAAGGATACATTTTCAAAGAAGACGCTTCTCCCAGAGTCAATAATACATGTTAATACTTGGATCCAGTTCATATTATTTTATTTCATTTACTTTGAAAATGTCTTTTTTCCAAGGTAAGAAATATTTTAACTAAAATATTTGATAAAATATTTTAACCGCTGACATTTAGATGCAGTGCTCATTCTATAGTACAACATCAGGACTCCACTATGCATCAATTATTATAAGGGGAAGGAATATTTGAATAAAATCATCCAATACCATATTTAAATAAAAAATATCTTCAAATAAATATTCTTAGAATTAAAAAAAAAACTTTCATAATACTATGTGGAATACCATACGTCTCTTATTTATAACATTCTCTCCTAATATAAATAGTAAAATATCTTATTCTGCTCTCTCTCTCTCTTTTTAATATAAAAAGGTAAAGAATTAAAGTATAAAATTAGCAAAGATCTTCCAGGTTTGAATCTCACTAAACCAAATCTTCCAGCTACTGACATAAGTTTGAGTAAACTCGTGTAGAATGAAATCAGTAGAGAATGAGTTACATCAGCAAATTCACTGAGTAAGCAGTTCCAAACACCTCTCCATATAAACATTGAAAAAATTCAGGAAATAAAACTACAAGGCAATATTCCTTATTAATATAGATGTAAACGTCATCAACAAAAGTAATAGCAAATCAAATCCAACAGCATATTACAAGTATTGTACACCTAGAGGAAGATTTAAAAAAATTTTTTCATTAATGAAACAAGTGTAAATTGCTACAATTTGATGAGCTTCACCTATATTTATGGATGTTGCTGTTGTTGTTGTTAAGTACTGTGGAGTCAGCTCCAACCCATAGTGACCCTGCATAGGGTTTCTGAGGCTGTAAATCTTTACGGGAGCAGAACACCTCATCTTTCTTTCGGGGAACCGCTGGTAGTTTCGAACTGCCGACCTTGAGGTTAGCAGCCCAATTCATAACCACTACGTTACCAGAGCTCCTTATTTATGGACGTAATAAGTAGCTCAAATACCAAATGAGAGGGAAGGTATTAATCCTATCTCCTCTGTATACAGGGTTGATAGGGATGGGCAACTTAGACACTGGCTACCTAAAATGGGGGGGCAGCTCTAAAGGTACGAAGTGACTGGCTTACATGTTTTCAAGAGGGAGTTTAGTTTCAGAGTGTGTGGGGGAAGGTAGAATCCCCACTGAATATATTTCATCTAGCCTAGATGGGTCTGGTGAAAGGAGATGAGGATAAGATTCTTATGATTCAATAGTGAGTAATTGTTATCATGACTAATTGCGACTGTCACAACAGTAAAGGTAGAAGTTTTGTAACAAAAAGGGGGAAGTAGTTAATCTTACAGTCCAGGAACAGAGGACCGTAGAACCATCAAGGGAGAAGAGTAAGAGTGGAATGTGGGACCCTATCCAGAGAAGCAGCGACACCAGAGATGGAGGCAGAGATGATGACATGGAGAGAGAGAGCAGCTGAGGACTCTAGACACATGGAAAGAGAAAGGTTGTGTGCTAGTGGCCAGGAGGAAGTCTTGCAGAATGTGTCCTTTGGTTATTTAAATGATTATATACTCCTGAGTGTTTTTGTGCACATCTCAAAAACAAAACAAACCAACCAACAAACAAAAACAGGGAATAGAAGCAAATACAGTGAATGATGATGCACAGAGGAGACTGCAATCATTGCAATGAATGATGAGTGTAAAACCGTTGTTCTCCCATGTAAACTACCACACCATTCACAAAAAAAATCTTAAAATAAAAAAGTATTGTACACTATGAATGAGTAAAATTTATCCTAAAAATGAAATAATGGTGACTCAATATGTCACCACATTAAACAATTTCAATTGATGCTGATGAAGCATTTAAAAAATATCCAATCACCCTTTCATGACAAAAAGAGACAGCTAGGAACAGAAGGGAACATTTTCAACATAATAAAAGATGTTTCTGAAAACCCCACAGCTAGCACTCACAACACAATCAATGGGAAACAACTGAAAGCTTCCCCATAATATTCTGAAGACAAAAAGGATTTTTAGTGTCATCACTGCTATATGGTATCACCCTGAGCACTGGAGCTATGGCACTTAGACAAAATGAATGAGTAAACACATAAAATGTAAACAAGTTGAAAAGAAAGAATTAAAACTACCTTTACCAGCAGATGACTGGTACTTTTCTATTTACAGAAAATTCCAAAGGACATACACATACTACAAGTGCTTACAAAGAAATCCAATGCAGGTTCTGTATACATGTCAACATGCAAAAATTATACAGGTCAACATGCAACAACTGCAATTAATAATATAGAAAGAAAATTAAGATAACAATTTCATTTGCAATAGTATGTAAAAAAATTAAATACCTTGGAATAAGTGCTGTGTTGCCAGGGATATGAAAGACTTAGCAATGAAAATTATAAAACAATGCTGAAATAAATTAAAGAAAACCCAAATAAAAGGAAAGAATCCAGTTTTGAACTCAAAGTGTAAATATTCTTTGGATGTACCTGTTTTTGTTAAGTGTTGTAAAGTCAGGTTTCCGAGGACCGGCTGGTGAGCTCGAACCACCAACCTTGCGGTTCAAACGGACTTTGTAGTCCAGAACATTAACCCACAGCACCACACCAGGCCTCCTCTTTGATGTTACTACTACCCAAAGTGACCTACAAATTCAATGCAACTGATAAAAATTCCAACAGTCTCCTTTCCAAAAGTGGATAAAAACAGTACTCAAAATTATATAAAATTACATGTGGTTCTAAACAGCCAAAACAATTTTAAAATCCATATATCTGTGACATTGAGTTTTGACAGGGGTGTGATATTCATTCAGTGATAAAAGAATAGTGTCTTTAATAAATAGCACCGAGAAAACTGGTTCAAAGGAATAAAGTATGAATCGTATCCCACACATAAAAAATCATTCAACATGGATCAGGATCCATGCAATAACTAAAACCTTAAAACTCCTAAAAATAAAACAGAGAGAGAGGTACTGTTTCAGGACCTAGTTTTAAACAATGTAATATAACATATAACACCAAAAGCACTTACAACAAAAGAAAAAAATAGACAACTGGACTCTATTTACCTACCTACCTCTTCCTCTTGTTCTCTCTTTCCCTCAGTATGTATATATATATGTATGTATGTGTATATATATATATACATGCATACACACACATATATTTATATATATATGTGTGTGTATGTATGTATATGTATAGATGTATGTTGCTGCTGTTGTTACGTGCCATGGAGTCGGTTCCAACTCATAGCGATCCTATACAGGGTTTCCAAGGCTGTAAATCTTTATGGGAGCAGAAAGTCTCATCTTTCTCCTGTGGAACAGCTGGTAGCTTTGAACTGCTGACCATGAGATTAGCAGCCCGATTTGTAATCACTAAACTACCAGAGCTCTTTGTACGTGTGTATATATACATATATATATATATATATATGAGGGTTATGTTGTTGTTGTTAAGTGCCTTCGAGTCTGTTCTGACCCATAGCGACCCTGTACAGGGTTTCCGAGGGTGTAAATCTTTACGGGAGTAGAAAGCCTCATCTTTCTCCCGCGGAGCGGCTGGTAGTTTCGAACCACTGACCTTAAGGTTTGCAGCCCGATTCGTAACCACTACGCTACCAGAGCTCCTTAGTATGAGGGTATATACATATATATATACACACACATAGATGAGAGTAAGTCAGAAAGTATTGGTATAAAATCGTAGAAACCTTTATTAAACAAAAATATCCAAATATGAAACTATATTTCTCCATCTAGATCTATACAATTCTGAAGGCAGTATTACATCTCTAACCACTTCCCCAAATAATTCTGCAGCAGTCAATTTATACCTTGTCAAAACGGCAGTTTTGGCATCCTTGAGGGACACAAATCATGTTCCTTGCCAATGGTCTTTGAATTTAGGGAACAGAATGAAGTCTAAAGAGGCAAGCTCAAGGGTTGGTTTGGAAATCACTGGCAAGATTTCCCAGTGAAATTCTTGTAGGGCAGTCCAAGCTACCCCCAAAGAATGAGCAGGCATACTGCCAGGAAGGAAGGAAAGGAAGGACGGAAGGAAGAAAATAATGAAACTTCCTGGCTTTTTTTTTTAATCACCAATGCAGTTTTCAATTTTTTTTAAAAAAATATTTACAAGTCTCCATGATTGCTCTGTGTCTTTTAAGGAAATTTATCAATAGGGTGCTTTGGGAATCCAAAAATACAGTCATGATAACCTGATTAATACTCTCTGTCCTAACTTTAACTGGCCAAGATGATCCCCTCTGAAGTAATACTTTGATTGGACCTTGTTCTCTGGATTGTGACGGTAAATCCAAGACTCCTACCCAGTTATGATTCATTCCATAAAATTGTCTTCATTACCTTTTATCTTAGATTTGAGCTAGTGGACCTCTGCATGACACTTCAGGTAGCAAAAAAGCTTGTTGAGCTGAAGATTTTTAATTAACATAGCAAATGTTGAACCATGTGAATCCACAACTTCAGTTGCTATCGCAGGAATAGTAATTCTACAGTCTTCTTATACTAGTTTATGGACCTCAGATAAATTTTCTTAATTCATCAAGGCTGATGGTCTTCCTGTCTTGATTCATCTTTGACATCTTCCAAACCTTCCCTAAAATGCTCGATCCTTCTAAAAAACTGTAGTTTTATGTGGGGGGAAATTCCTATAAACTTGTTACAAATCTTCAGTGATTTGGGTAGATGATATTTGGGTAGATGATATTAACCCTCAACTCAAAATTGTTTTTTTTTCCCATGGCACAAAAATTAAGGGTTTTGGTGAGACTTCCAGTTGGTGGTGGCAGAGCAAAGTCAGACAGGACAGGCTCTGTGGGGGAGGGGCTTAAACCTCAGATACAAGGCTCT